ATTTTCTTTTGCTGCTGTTAAGTTTTATTTTATAGGAGTCCCTTTGGTATTTATTGCAAAGACAGTTTTAGTGGACAGGAATTCCTTTATCTGTATAGCTCTTTTTCCTTCATTGCTGACCGATAGCCCAGCTGACAGTGTTTTCCTTTCAGCACTTGGACTATATCCTGCCAGTCCCTTTTGTCCTGAAAAGTGTCTGCTGAGAAATCAACTTATAGTCTGTGGGGATTCCCTTCTAGGTTACTTGCTGCTCTTCTCCAGCTGCTTTTAAGGTTCTTTATCTTTAATTTTTGCTGCTTTTAAGATTCTTTATCTTTAATTTTTGCCATTTTAATTATAATGTGCATTGGTGTGCCTTGCATGGGTGATTTTGTTTTGAGCTTCCTGGATCTGGATATGCTTCCTTCCCAGGCTGGAGAAGTTCTCATCTATTATGTCTTCAAATAGTATTTCTGCCCCTTTCTCCCTCTCTCTCTCTCATTCTAGAGCTCTTATGATATAAATATTCCTCTTGATGTTGTCTCATAAGTCTCTGAAGTAGTCTTTATTTTTTTAATTATTTTTTTTTCTTTTTGCTGGTCTTTTTGGAAACTTTCCACTACCTTATCATCTAACTTTCTGATTCAGTCTGCTGTCTGCCTTTGAGTCCTTTATGTATTTTTTTAAATTCAACACTGTTGTTAACTCCATGATTTCTCTTTGTAACTTTCTCATATTTTCTGTTTTTCTTTCATTTTAATTTTGTTCATCCATGGTTCTCCTAATGTCAGTAGGCATCATTAAGACTGCTGTAAAAAAAATTCCATTTACCTGGGTATATTGCCTCCATTCTTTCAAAGCCCAAGGATCCTTCTTTTGTTCCAAAATGATGACCAGGTCTGCTCAGGTACAGTAAGACCCAAGGAAATTAGGTTTCCATAGTTCTCTAAGCCTCATTCAAGCATTGCCACTTCTACTGAGAGAATTCTACACCACATTTATAAATGTCAGAGTCTCCCGACTGAGTTCCTGTCACAAACTAACACCCCTGCTATAGGTCATGAATCCCAACTCACCACTATACTCCCTGTTCATGGAACACAATAAATATGTACAGAATCAGTAAAAGTTAATTATTACATGTTTAAATAGTTTCTTCTATACTTATTCTAATCAGAACTCTCATAAAATATCTCTGCAGACATACATCAAATAATTTTTCAGCTTCTCTTACATAAACGTGCTACTTGACACATATTCAACCTAATATAAAAAGTCCTAGTCAGAGCAGTTAGACTAGAAAAATAAAGGAGATTCAAATCAGAAAGGAAAAAGTAATATTATCCCTTCTCCAAATAGCATCTTATATATAGAAAGCCCTAAAGACAAAAAATAGTTATCTTTTTTTTTGTCTAACTGTATCTTTTAAACAATGAAAAATAGTAATGATATTCTGAAAATTTTGAAATATTTAAATTACCTGGGAAACTCCACTGATAACCCTGAAGACCCTTTGAGATCTGGGGATCCAAGATGATAACCCTAAAATACTTTGCAATTCTGATTTCATAGATCACCATTAAAAATAAAGCATACATCCTCTAGCTAGTCCCTCACTTCTCCAAGGGATGCTGAGAGAAAGTCGTTCCTTCAGGTCTTCCATATGAAATTGGATGAAATCTAACATAGCATTTGTATTCATTAATTTCAGTAACTATTGAGAGATTACTGTCAGGATTTCAATGGTTCAATGCATCACACTCAAATAGATATTCTGTTTTGGATATGTGAAATACATATTAAATACATATTACTGATCTACATAGAGCTAGCCACAGGTAGAGTGTGGATATACACATCTGGAGTTCAAGGACAAGGCAGGCTGGAAATAACACACAGAAGATCTAGGACCAAAAATCGGTTTGAGTGGAGGTTAAGGGACAGAGGACAAGGCAATAAATTAGACTAAGAAGAAGTATCAGAGACATGGGAGCAAAATTAGAAGGAATTGATTTCCTATAAGCAACAAAAGCAGGAAATATTGTGGAATATGGCGGCGGGGGGGAATACTGCTACAAGTGGAAATTTTCTTTTTTCAAATATGATTTCAAGATAAATCAAGTTAAAATAATTTTTCTTTCCCCCAACTGTCCTTATCATCAAGGTAGTTTAAGATACCCCCTAGGGAAGTTGTACCAATGGACTAATCCTGATGCAATTTCAATTCTCAGAGAAGACTACATTTCATCTTGTTGCTTTGTGCTTTTGTGCTTCTCAAGCAGACCTCAGTCATCTCGGGGGACCAAGAAGTTACTTTAGCCAGACTAGTTATGTAGTTCATTATTTGATGATAATTTTGAGCCTGAATGTCAAGGGAACCTCAAGGTTCCAGCTTACAGCAATGTGATAAGTAACGCCCAGGAGTTATTTTGTACAATGAGAAAGAGAACTCACCCTCGGTCCGCGAGTACACCAGATGGGGATCAAGTCCAGTCCTTGAGTCAGCAAGATAGATGAGTCTATAAGTGGTCATCATGCCAGTCCAGGGATCCTCTGAGGACAGAGAGCCTTAAGGCAGACCCCTGGGGTCTCCAGTGTTTAACAAAGAATGCAAGTAAATCCGTGAAGGCTAGCAGTCTGCGTGAGTCCTGTAACAGGTAAGAATCACCTCTTAGACTTCAGATTTTAGAAGATTAGAAAAATTCTTCATCTCTAACTAGACCAAATCTTATGAAGGACAATGGTCAGGGAACAAAAGCTAGGTGTGGAGAAGTGTCAGAAAGAGTCAAAGTCCACTTCCTCCTCAGAACCAATGTTTTAGAATAGACATTTTAAGAGGAAGTCAAGAATGCATACTGAAATCCATGATATTAAGATTTATGAATATTATGGAGGAGATCCACATCTGTGAAATGATGTCTATAAAAACTGTAACACATTGGGCCTCCCTGGTTGCACAAGGGGTTAAGACACAACCCATGAAGCTACTGCCAGCCACTGCAGCACGAGTTCAATCCCCGGCCAGGGAGCTACCCACATGACGCAGCAGACCTTTCCTGACTTGCTCACTGCTCCCCTCAGCAGAAGTCAATCTGCCTGTTTTGCTCCCCACTCTGTCTCTGATGAATCCTCTCACCCCCCGCATCTCTGGCCTGTACCCCAGTTCTTGTATCATAAATAAATCTTTTAAAAAAATTGTAACACAGTGCACCAGTATCCTAGAAACTTGGTGATCAGTCACAAATAAGAAGTCACCCTGAAATCTGATGTTTTTGTGCCCCAAATCCACACAGATATTCCTTCTATGTGTACTGCGTACATGACAGGGTTTTTTCCTATGAATGATTTCCAAAAGATTTTCAAGTTAAAATTCCCCTTTGAAAAATCCGCACCATGTTGATCCTGGGACTTCACGTTGTGGGATCCCCAGCCCCCCTTATTCTCAGGGATATTGTCCCACAGCTCCTGCTTGTCAGCTAGGTGTGGGGCCATGCAGGGGCCTCTCACCAAGGCCAAAAGTCCTGGTATCCTGGTATGAGGAGCACAGCGGGAAGCCAGTATCTACTGAGAACATCAGGCAGATATCAGAGGAGAGATCATCTGTTTAGACAGGCAGGAATAAGGGAGCAACCCAGGCAATAGCCCCTGGTCACTCCTCCCCAGCTTACATCCCTAATTCCATCCCCCAGGCATGCACACTCCCTATGTACCTGCCCCTCCTTTGTACTCAATGCTGGTAAACCCGAGACTGCCTTTGACAGGCTGCGCGTCCCTTCCAGTGTGGCCCCTTCTAGGCTCCACGTGGACTGTGAGTGATCTTTCCCTCACCCTGCACCGCTTCTAACACTGCCGCCCTGTGAGGCGACATCACCTTATCCTGGACCCAGCTTTGAAACTGCTAGATTCTTGGATCTGTTCATTCTCAAGACTGAAAATACTGTAAACAATCATTTTTTGGTCTCAGATCTTTGGAGCTCTTTTTCCAATAGACATCTGGAGTTCCAAGTATGAAGGAGCTACAATAATTCAAATAACGAAGTCACTGAGATGGATAGAGGGAGTAAGCTATAAACTGAGATTAAGTGCAAAAGCTTTTGAGTCAAACAGACTGTGTCCAAAAGCTGGTTCTTCTACTTTCTACCAATAGGAGTTCAAAACATTTCTAGGTATTTTTCTGTAAAATGGGATTACAATAGTACAGGACCTTTGAGGTGGTTTAATGGATTAAGAAGCACTTTTTCTCCATGGCAACCTCTTAATTTGGAATAAATGATAACATGCTACAAAACACAGCCCCTATACTCAGGGCATTTGAAATATAATTTGGGACAATACATAAAAATAACGTGAAAAACACTGCATTAACAAACAACACTAGGAGCAACACTGAATTTCAGAGAAAGGAGAGAGATTTAAACCTGAGTGGTTTAGGAAGACTTTGTAAAAAAAATTTAATCTAGAACTGAAAACGAGGCGGGATTTGGACTAAGCAAATGAGAGCAGACATGATTTCTAACTGAAATGGGAATAGAAATCCCTGGTGGCACAAGGGGTGAGCACAGCACTATGAAGCTATCCAGAGCTTCTGCATCATAAGTTCAATCCTCGGCCGGCCAGGGAGCTACACACATGGCACAGCAGACCTCTCCTGTCTCACCCACTGCTCCCCTCAGCAGTGTATTTTGGTCAGTCTACCTGTTCTGCTCCCTACTCTGTCTCTGGTGAGCCTCTCAGCCCCCTGCCCCTCTCCCCTGTACCCCAGTTCTTGTATGCATAAATAAATATATCTTTAAAAATTATGAAAACTCTAATAAAGATTTACCTATACCTAGGTGCACAGCAGCACTGACCACAATTGCCGAGTCATGGAACCAACCCAAGAGCCCATCAAAAGACAAATGGATACAGATATTGTGGAATATGTCCTCGATGGAATACTACACTCTGGAAGGCAACATTTTCATGAGCAATGCCTAGAGACTTATATCATCTTTCCTTTTCATAGGTCCACTACACTAGCCATGGAAGGAATAAATAAAACTGAAAAGATACAGTTCTTCTTTCGTCCGTTCTCAACTGACCCTAAGGTACAGATGGTGATTTTCGTGGCCTTCCTGGTGATGTACCTGACCAGTCTCGGTGGAAATGCCACAATTGCAGTCATTGTCCAGACCAACCACTCCCTCCACACCCCCATGTACTTTTTCCTGGCTAACCTGGCAGTTCTAGAAATCTTCTATACATCTTCCATTGCCCCACTGGCCTTAGCAAACCTTATCTCAATGGGGAAAACTCCTGTTTCCATCACTGGATGTGGCACCCAGATGTTTTTCTTTGTCTTCTTGGGTGGGGCTGATTGTGTCTTGCTCGCAGTCATGGCCTATGACCGGTTTGTAGCCATCTGCTACCCTCTGAGATACACCCTTCTCATGAGCTGGCCTTTGTGTGTAGAGCTGGTGGTAGGGTCCCTGGTGCTGGGTTTCCTGCTGTCCCTGACACTAACCGCGTTAATCTTCCATCTCCCATTCTGCAATAACAACGAGATCTACCACTTCTACTGTGACATGCCCGCAGTTATGCGCCTGGCTTGTGCAGACACACACGTCCATGAGACTGCCCTGTACATCATCAGCTTCATTGTCCTGAGCATCCCCCTGTCGCTCATCTCCATCTCCTACATCTTCATCGTGGCAGCCATCTTGCGGATCCGCTCAGCAGAAGGGCGCCATCGAGCCTTCTCCACCTGCTCCTCCCACATTGTGGTGGTCCTCCTTCAGTATGGCTGCACCAGCTTTATATACTTGTCCCCCCATTCTAGCTACTCTCCTGAGATGGGCCGGGTGGTCTCTGTGGTCTACACTTTTATCACCCCCATCTTAAACCCCTTGATCTATAGTATGAGGAATAAGGAACTGAAGGATGCCCTAAGGAAGGCACTGAAAAAATTCTAGGAGGGAAGATCTTGTGACTTCTTTAAATGAGAACATTTTTGAGATGGCAACATTTTGAAATGGGTTGCTATAGTTGACTGTGATGGGATTACATGCCTAAGCTGGGAACCTCCTCAGAAAACTATGAGGTAGGGCCAATTATTCTGGGAGCACCGAGAAAATGATTGCTATTGTCCAGTTAAAATAAAGCTGTACCACACAGGCCACGTGATGTCCACGGATGACAAGATGAACACAACATTTATTGGATATCAACTACCTACTAAGCACTTTATACAGATTTTCTCACTTAGCGCATAGCAAGTATCATTTTGCTTTTTTTTTTTTTTTTAGAAGAGGACCCTAAAGTGGGTAACAAAAGACACAGCCAGAAGGAGAGCACAAGTATTTAAAAATCTAAAGACTAAACTTTTTTCATACCAGGCCGCTCTCCTTGGTCTCAACTTGCTCTGCTGGTAGGAATCTATGTAATCTCAAGCAAGTCTCCCTGTCTCTCTAGGCTTAGGTCCTTGTTTCTGAAGAGGCAGGGCTGAACTAGAACATTCTAAGTGTTCCTTCCAAGGTCATAAAGTTTTGTTGCAAATATTGACCAAGTAAGATCTCAAAGACAAAAACAGGAAAAAAAAATGAGGGGATTTTTCCCATTTTTTGCTTTGTTAACCCAAATGAAAATTTATGATTGTGTTCATCACTTTGAAAGAGCACCTCAGTAATAAAAAGAACAACAATGCAGGGAAATGTTCTTATTTAGTAAGTGAAAATATAGGAAAGGAACAAAAGTGGGCATTGTTGAATCTTGGCGTCTTCCAAGAATTGCTTCTCCAACACTCATGTGAGCTCAGACTCAGCTCAAGTTTCCAAAAAGAGAGACCATAACTTGTAAGACACTCCATTCCTTGTTGGACAACTCAGGTTGTTAAAGTACTATCCGGTATCTTGATCTAAAATATATCTACAAACAACTTCCTCTCCTAACATGACAGCTCTTCACATATATTAGGACAGATTTTGTATCTCTTACAAGTCCCCAGTCCTTGTTTTCCTCAAACAAGTATTCCATCAGTTTTTCCTTCGGGGCATTATATTTAGATCCTCTCAACATACCAGTCATCTTTTAGAATTTCTCTAGCTCCGTATCCTTTTTACACATTTTTACCCAAAAATAAACACAATACACTGGGAATATTTTGTTCTGCAAAGCTGTTATTTTTGTGACCCGCAGACCACCTTTTCTTAATTTGTCTTGATCACGTTAGTGTCATAGATTTGATATCAAATAAAACCTCCATATTCTTTTCATATGTCTTTCAATTCTGCCTGACCATAATTTTTACTGATACACACTGATCACTCCTCATTAAACACTGATAAATTGTGATTTTATTGGTTCTGACAAGTGCTCCAAACTACCAAAGCCATCTTTAGGATTTATTTTATTCATCATAGTCAAAATTCAAATAGTCAAAAATGCAGTCATATTTCACCTCCTTTGTCCATATATTGACAAATAGCCAGCATAGTACAGCATGAATGCAACATCCATGCTGGTCCTTGTCTTTTGGAATTGTTGTCCAGTAAGATAAAAATCTGCTCCGTTAATACTATCTGTAGTTCACTGTCACAGTTATAACCCCACAGTGCACCCTCCCTGGGTCCTTGTCATTAGGTGGTTATGTAACTTCCTTCCTTGCAAGAAGGAGCAAATGTGTTGCAAGCAGATGCTTACACTTACTTTTTGGAGTTGATCCTCTCTTGATTCCTAGACTGCTTAGGACTAAAAAGAAACCTGTGAAGCAGACGTAAGTCTCCAAGTTGACTAGCCAGCCATCAATCCAGCAACTGACTGCAGGTGCATTAGGCCAGTAGAAGAACTGCCCAGTTCGGCTTGCCCAAAATAATGACCCACAGAGTCTCAGGCAAATAAAATGATAGGTTTTTGGCCATTAAATTTGAGAGTGTCTTACTTTTGCATCAAGATATTACCGTTATCATCCAGTCAATAATAAACCATCTAAGAAATGTATCACAGGAGTATAAGAAGTCCTTTTGTTATAGGACAGGGAGAGGGGCAGCCCAAACCCCGCAAACCTGCCTATACTAAATGGGTTCTGCCATCCGCCGCATCAACACAAAACACATGAGACTAATGGGAAGGATCTTTAATAAAACTAGGAAACAATACAGGTAAGGCAAAGAGTCTAGTTTCTAAATGAAGCACCCAAAGTTACCCGTCCCCTGGTGGGTGAAAGTCCATCCATATGGGATCGGCCCAGAGCAAGGTCCCAAAGCCTGCTACAAGTCTAAAGCATCTTCCAGTGGGGACCCACAGAAAAGGATCACAAACAACCGGACAAGCCCGGAAGGAAAAGAGCAAAATCAACATCAAGATAAAAGCTGCCATTGTCACCTCCCCACAGGTCTCACCCACATCTGTGTCACCCAGTCCACGACCAAAAGACAAGCGCAGTTTCTTTACGTGTCTCTAGGCTCCATGTGCCTCCTCCAGGTCTCCTGGCTCCATCCTGCTTCCTTCCTTCCTCAGTCTCTTCTGCTTCTCCTCTTCCTGCTCAGCTCCACCCTCCCTTGGGTGGGGCAGGGAACCTCCCCCTTTCCTGGGGACCACCCTGTTACACTTTCACATGATCAGAATAAATGCTTTTAAGTAATAATTTTTAAAAATCCATATACCACAGCATTTGTATAAAACTAACCATTTAGAAGGCTTCTTTTAAAAGTGAGAGGTCTCCCCAGTGGCACAGCGGGTTGAGCACCATGCTGTGAAGCTGTTCGCAGGTTCAATTCCTGGCCAGCCAGGGAGATTCCCACATGGCGCAGCAGACCTCTCCTGCCTTGCCTGCTGTTCCCCTCTGCAGTGCCTTCGGTCCTTCTGCCTGTTCTGCTCCCCGCTCTGTCTCTGGTGAATCCTCTTACCCTCCCGTGCCTCTGGCCTGTACCCCAGCTCTTGTACAAAAATAAATAAAACTTTAAAATAAATAAAATAAATAAATAAATAAATAAATCAAAGTGAGGAGGCATAGTGTGCTACAATTCATCTTGAGGTACTTCACAGGGGCTCATGTTGTAATACCAATCTTTTCAAAACGCTTATAAATTATCTGTTCAATCATCTTTTCGAGAATCTGACCAGTGGTTGGCATAATGATTTGATTTCATTTTCATTGAAGATAGATTTGTAACATATTAAAGTGTACAGTCTTATAAATCAACACCTGTATATGCAACATCATGTTCTTCACCAGAAGTCTAGCTTACTATTACCAACTCCACGTAACTTACCTGTTCTCTTTTCCCCTTCCCTTCTGGAAAGCAATGTTTTGTTCTTCTAGATTAAAAATTTATTTTTCTTTTGTTCTTTCATTTGCTTTGTTTCTTTATCTCCCACATAGGGGTGAAATCATACAGTCTTTGTCTATCTTCATCTGACATATTCACTAAATACAATATCCTCTAGGTCCATCCACATTGTTGCAAATAGCAGAATTTTATCTTTTTTATAACTGAGTACTCCATTGTGCATAAAATCCCTATCTTTTTTTAAAAATTTTTATTTTTGTTTCAATTTTATCTCAAAGTAAAACTGGTTTACAACACTTTGTGGTTCAGAGACATAGATGATAGATGCCTGTCACCACCCCACAGCCACCACCAAGGCACCCACAGTGTCCGCCACACTCCATGGTGCCCCCTCTCCACTTTGCTTCCTCCCGTCTTCCTTCCTATCTCGTAACCTTAATTCCTCAGTCAGATTTCTAAGCTTTGTTATTGGTTTGGCTTTGTCTGACCTTTTATTTCTCTATATTCCACACGAGTGACACCATTTGATATTTGTCTTCTTCTGATTTATTTTGCTTAGCACCATCCCCTCCAGTTCTCTCCATGTTGTCACAAATGACAAGAGTTCATCTTTTTAATAGCTGAGTATTATTCCATCATGTATATATACCACGTTTTTCTAATCCACCTTTGTTGGGCACTGAAGTTGTTTACATAACTTGGCTATTGTGAACGGTGCTGCAGTGAAGGGAGGAGTACATATATCCCTTCAAATCAGTTTTTTGATTTGAAGGAGTATGTTTCTCCCCGGGGGCACTCTTCGGTGGATATCTGAGTTGTCTTCAGAGCAGTGTCTTGGGTCACCAGAGGGTGGGTGACTTACAGATCATCTTTTGTTTGTGTGGTGGTGGATGCCCTTCAGTACTGCTTTCTTAGTCTTCAAAACTGTTTTGGTTTCAGCTTGAGGGAGGGGAGTAGGGACTTCTTTGCTTTCAGTGCCATCCTTATGAAAAGGGTTTTCAAGTTGTTCTTGGATGTAAAAGTTTTTCAAACATTTCTTATTTTTTATAACTTTGATGATTTTGCGGATTCCAGGTCTGGTATTTGTACAATGTCCTTTTTTAAAAAAAAAAAAAAAAAGATTTATTTATTTATTTTATACAAGAACTGGGGTAGAGGCCAGATGTGCAGGAGGGTGAGAGGATTCACCAGAGACAGAGCAGGGAACAGAACAGGCAGACTGATGAAATACACTGCTGAGGGGGGCAGTGGGCACGACAGGAGAGGTCTGCTGCACCATGTAGGATTCTCGCCGGCCGGCCGGGATCAAACCGGCGTTCAGAGACTGTGGACAGCTTCACAGCACTGCGCTCAACCACCTGCGCCACCAGGGAGGCCCTGTACAATGTCCTTTAGATTGAGTTTGATGCTTAAACAAAAGGTTATGGGTGAATGGAAGAAAGACACAGAGGTAAGATGTCATTTCCATGACATCATATCAAGGGTACATATTATAAACATGACTTCTCACTATTGATGTTGAGCTTGATGACCTGGTGGAAGAAGCGTTTGTTAGGTTTCTCCAAAGCAAACACACTTGGTTTTTCATTTTGGAGAAAAGTCACCATATCCACCCCATACTTAAGTAAAAATTAGCAACTCCCCCCCCCCCAATGGAGACAGAATTAGCTACACAAATTATTTGC